TTGCATTCATCTGTAGAACCACATCTCTGTCACTTGCATTCGTCTGTAGAACCACATCTCTCTCGCTTGCATTCATCTGTAGAACCACATCTCTGTCGCTTGCATTCAACTGTAGAACCACATCTCTGTCACTTGCATTCGTCTGTAGAACCACATCTCTGTCGCTTGCATTCGTCTGTAGGACCACATCTCTGTCGCTGGCATTTATCTGTAGAACCACATCTCTGTCACTTGCATTCATCTGTAGAACCACATCTCTGTCGCTTGCATTCCTCTGTAGAACCACATCTCTGTCGCTTGCATTCCTCTGTAGAACCACATCTCTGTCGCTTGCATTCCTCTGTAGAACCACATCTCTGTCGCTTGAATTCATCTGTAGAACCTCATCTCTGTCACTTGCATTCGTCTGTAGAACCACATCTCTTGCATTCCTCTTAGAACCACATCTCTGTCGCTTCATTCATCTGTAGAACCACATCTCTGTCGCTTGCATTCATCTGTAGAACCACATCTCTGTCACTTGCATTCGTCTGTAGAACCACATCTCTGTCACTTGCATTCGTCTGGAGAACCACATCTCTGTCGCTTGCATTCATCTGTAGAACCACATCTCTGTCGCTTTCATTCCTCTGTAGAACCACATCTCTGTCGCTTGCATTCCTTGTAGAACCACATTCATCTGTAGAACCACATCTCTGTCGCTTGCATTCCTCTGTAGAACCACATCTCTGTCGCTTGAATTCATCTGTAGAACCTCATCTCTGTCACTTGCATTCGTCTGTAGAACCACATCTCTGTCGCTTGCATTCCTCTGTAGAACCACATCTCTGTCGCTTGCATTCATCTGTAGAACCACATCTCTGTCGCTTGAATTCATCTGTGAACCTCATCTCATCTTGCATTCGTCTGTAGAACCACATCTCTGTCACTTGCATTCGTCTGTAGAACCACATCTCTGTGCTTGCATTCATCTGTAGAACCACATTCGTCTGTAGAACCACATCTCTGTCGCTTGCATTCATCTGTAGAACCACATCTCTGTCGCTTGCATTCGTCTGTAGAACCACATCTCTGTCGCTTGCATTCATCTGTAGAACCACATCTCTGTCACTTGCATTCGTCTGTAGAACCACATCTCTGTGCTTGCATTCATCTGTAGAACCACATCTCTGTCTTGCATTCATCTGTAGAACCAATCTCCACATTCTCTGTCATCTCTGTCATGCATTCGTCTGGAGAACCACATCTCTGTCGCTTGCATTCATCTGTAGAACCACATCTCTGTCACTTGCATTCCTCTGTAGAACCACATCTCTGTCGCTTGCATTCCTCTGTAGAACCACATCTCTGTCGCTTGCATTCATCTGTAGAACCACATCTCTGTCACTTGCATTCGTCTGTAGAACCACATCTCTGTCACTTGCATTCGTCTGGAGAACCACATCTCTGTCGCTTGCATTCATCTGTAGAACCACACTCCATCTTGCGTACCCTTCTATGTGTTAAACAGTACGAAAAAATTCGTTGGTATTCTCAAAGATAGTTAATGAATATTCATTCGCAAAATTAACTATTCTTATTATTCAAAATTAACTATTAACTATTATTACAATCGAAAATAAGTTTCGGTGTTAAGTAACCAACAATGTGTCGATAAACCGTTAAAAAATAAATAAATCAGTAAAAACCGTCTGTCAATTCATTTCTCTTTTTACCTGTGAAGGCCCCATGGATGAAAGTCATCCAAAATAAGGGTGATCAGGACCCATGTCACAACCTCCTTTATCTTCCCGGTGTTTTTAAAACAACTGCTCCTGGGTTTCTTCTTCAACTTAGGGAATAGTCAAAAATCATAGGAAAAAATGTTTGAACTTTAAGGAGGATAATGGGCAGTTTTGATGCCCATCTCTGTCGACAAAATACTTTATTATATCGTGCACTTCCAAATAGTCTTCACAGCTCGACTGCATTCAGTAAACTAGTCAGTAGTAACAAGCTGTTTAGTAAGGTGTGATACAGCTGCTTCCTTCAATAACAGGAGTTGGTAGGTCAAATTATTAGATGAATAGTAATAATATATTAAAATGACAATAATCAAGAACAGTTGTAACTATCTCTCCTAAAAAGTATCAACATTTCTAGAATGACTAACCCTCGCCGCGTCAGTTAAGTGCCATAAATGATAAACGCTTGGGCGATAATGTCTCTTTCGATTCCTGACTGACTAGAGAGACGATTTTTCCTCAATAGATTGCCGTTTCTTTCTTTGGTATACTGGTTGTCAATCAAGGATTTAGGACGCATTCTCTCCTGTTATTTACCCCATAGTTATGGGGAGAATAGATGGATTCATACCTTTCCCAAGGTTATTTCTGCATAAGAGAATATAAAGAACTCGACTGGAATTGTTACAGTTTTTTGGATATATCTATTTACTAGTGAGCTAGCCAAAATGAGCTGACTCATTTTATAGTCAACCAAGAGAAAGGTTAACCAATCAGAAAGGTCAAAATATTCAATCCGACGTGTATAAAGGCAGACATTTTGTTTTTTCTCTCCTAAAATATCTCCACTGCCAACCTGATATCGAAGACTTAAAGAATTAACACCCGCTACTTTCTCCGAATCTACACTGCCAACCTCTGATATTGAAGAGATTACGGACTTCACTGGATTCCATATTCAGAGACTACGGCAAACATGGTCAACAGGAATTCGAATACAGCTCTCCGATTTCTCATTCCGAGCTGATTCCATTACATTACAACACAGATAAATCAATAAATCTGTCTGTCACACTAGTTCACTTCTTTATCTGTGATTTTCCAGTATTCACTGTCATATTGCAGGATCGATATGACATAGATCAGAATTTTTTTCTTAGTTTTTAACAGAAAAGATAGATTCATGCCTTTGAATTTAACGAATCTGACCGAGTCCGAATTCCCGGGTCCGTTAGATACCCTTATGATCAAATACCCTTGAGAAAGAAATCAATCTATCTTACATATATAATACCAACATATAGACACCAACAGCAGAATAGGCAATGATCTAAACGATATCAACGTCCAAACCGGCGGAAAAAAGCAGAGCCAGTGGTGCTGACGAAACCAAGGCGGGCCTTGACAGACTAAGCATCCGACAGCCCGATGCAACGAGTTTACCTGATCTCTCCTCTCTCAATCCCCTCTGGGCCAAAGGGAGTTGCTTATGGCTAAGTGTGTGGGCTTCTCTGTCGGTCAGAGTTATCCACAAAAATCATATTCACGCGAATGACCTCGTCAAACTCTTTTTGACTTCGCTTTCTATCAAATCTCTCCCCAGCATCAAGGCTACCATCCATCAACAACTTCTCCGCTGGACGAGTCATGTGTTCAATATACGTCACGATCGACTCCCGCGTAACACCCCGCTTGGAGAACTCGCCAGCTGCAAGTGGCTGAACGGGGCCCTAAAACGCTTCAAGGATCAATCAAAGACATCACTGAAACAGGCCAACTGAGTCCTTGGAAACCGTTGCTGAAAATAAGCTTTCCTGGCGTACGACCATCCGAGGAGGAACCGAGACTCTCTAGTCCAACAGTCATCACGAAGTTGTCAGGAATGCACAACTCTCCCAGCCGCTTCCACCGCCCACACTCCTGAGTGACATCTGCTCAGGACTTTTCAGGAGTATGTTCCGCCTACACAGCCAATTCCGTCACTGCCACTAAAGGGAATATGGAGGAAGAATGACGATTCCGATGCTCGGATGCGAGCGGGTGACGACTAGACTAGATAATAATATATCAATAATCAGTTATTCAGTGTATCGATCCAGCTTCGTATAATTACGTATATGACGTTGTGGTGATCTACTTATTAGTTGAATTGGTTGCTTATTCTCAATAACTCCTAGTCAGAATTTCGAATGTTGATTTTAAGTAAGGCATTATTACACTAATTGAAAGATTTTCGCATCTAACTCTTCCTGTACACATTTCTCTCTTTTTGACCTTGTCACTTTCAAATTCCGGAGTTAAGCATAACGGTCTGTGTAATTTAGCGTAAAAGATGCCCGGTACCTCTTGGCTTTGTTAGATTGACGTAATAATATGGATATTTATTCATATTACAACCTGGTACCTAGCAACTTGAATCAAGTGATACCATTTGTTTTTGACTCGGTTTTTGTTATTTGTTTCCAAATGATTATCCAACCCTTCAACCGTCTGTCCGTTCTCTTCCTCCTGTAATCCATCTGAGCGTTTAATATCTACTTCCTATTAAACATTAAACAATTTGTGACATAAAACTTTAACTAAGCACTTAACCTGACAAAGATTTTTTTCTCTCTTATTCCTGCGGTACTTATTTTTTTTCTCTCTTATTCCTGCGGTACTTATTTTTTTCTCTCTTATTCCTGCGGTACTTAATCTCTTAAACAATAAGAAGCATGCAAGGACATTTCTTCGAAAAAGAAACAAGTCAAGAGTGTTTTCTTAAAAAACAAAAACAAATGTCTTTCATCGTTTTGTACCTTCTAGATTTGTCGATTTCTTCCAGAAAAAAAAAAATTAAACTATTATTATGTAGTTCTGCGTTTGAGTTGGTAACGATGACTGCTTACTTATAATGAGCTTAGCAGAAGTTACGGACCCGTTTTCACGGAGATGTTTGTACTCTACGTCAATCCAACGCTGATAACAGATCACAAATACAAAAGTATTTTCTTGAATGAGTCTATGATTTATTACTAATTGGATACTGTTATTGTGGCACAAGGTTGAAAAAAGTGGGGAGATATGTCAAGGCTTGTCAACACTATTTTATACCTAGCTAATCAGATTCACGATTCATTCATTCGTTACAATTTACTCATACACTATAAGAATTTATCCGATACCATTCGCACTTACATACACCAAAATACACCACAGACACAGGTCCCCTACTGAAAAAACACCGTGTCTCTTAAAATTTCAATATTTACAATTCCATGAAAATGCCACCAATTTTTTGATATGTTAGGGAGGCGATAACCCCGAAAACAAACTTAAAAAAAGAAAGATGTTAGTAAGACCCGACCACCTCTTAAAAATAAGAGTTGCCAAATCTAGGAAAAAATTATAGGCATTAGAAAATTCAGAAAACTGACCTAGTCGAGATGAAAGGCCAAGACAACCTGGGGAGGTTGTGAATCTCGACTTGGATCGTAAGGAAGTGCTGGGCACAGGCCGGAAGCGAGAGTTACTGATATTAACTAGGTACACAAGAAAAGTCTATCTTAACCATTAAGGGGGGATTAAAAAAAGAAAGTCAACGCTAGCCTCGTTCACACGAACCAGACTCGCAATAGTTATCCACTTTTCGTAGAAATCTGTCAATGGTGTCGCTTTCTATCAGTTTCCTCCATTCACGTTGTCCAGATCACAATTCTAGCTGCGGTCGTTGTTTACACCCTCTCGGATCGTGCGGGTCAGGTGCAGGTTGCTCTGAATTAGGCCCTTCACAGAACATGTCTGCTCGGGTCGCAACAAAAATTCGGCAACTGACTTAAAACGCTCCGACAGGATGTTGGCCACAATCTTAAAGTTGTTTAGTAGAGTTATGGGCCTGTAATTATCTAAATCCAGCCCATCACCTTATACGGAAGCAGTTGTTCAACAAGCAGTCAAAATCGGAACAAAGATGTGCGACAACCTCAAGTATAATTCATAGGGTAAACCATCAAATCCAAGAGACTTGCCACTGCCGACCCTATCCAATGGCTCTTAATCCTCGTCCTCCGTGATCTCACCCTCACATCTAGCCGCTGCAGTCGGCGAAAATCGAAGAAAATTAGTTGCTCCCTGGTAAACCGGCTCTGGAAAAGTGTCTTCAGTTACTGAATAATGCTAAAAACAAAATCCTTTTATACAAACGTCAATGTAGAAAATGTAATTCTTTTTAATGTGATTATATTTTAGTCGCGTGTTTTCAGTTCGTGAATTCATCGAACCCACTGGATCAGAAAACTATTAACAAGTAAAACCATATCACTTGAAGACAATCAACAGCAACAAAAATAGATAGAACTTGTAAAAAGTAGTGAAAATAATGATTTAAGGAAAATGCTGAATTTCCACACTACAAAATGCTTTTTGGAAAATTCCACATCTATTTTGAAAATCAATA